AAGGACGCGGGACCTCCGGGCCTCAGTCTCCCGGCCGCACCTCCCGGGCTTCGGCAGCCCGCTCCTGCGGATAGCGTCCCCGGCGTGGGATCTGTCCTGCTCGGCCCTCACCTGCAGCGTGCCTCCCCAGCACGCCGATCTCCTAGGTCCTACGAGAAGCTCCGTCGCCCAGGCGACCGCAGACGCAACGCTTCCGGCTGCGGCGGAATTTAAGCTCGCGCACCGGAAGTCCCACCTCCTGCAGCGCGGGGCACGCCGGGACAGCCGCAGCGGGCTGCTGGCCCAGAGGGATGTGCTGCTCAGCGCTGCCCCCGCGTGGCCAGGCTGGGTACTGCCTTGAGCCTGGGCCAGCGATCACCGCCGCAGACCTGGGGTCTCTGCCGCTTGCATTGAGGGTGCTGGGGTTTGGCTGATCAGACAATACGCACATAGTGAAGGGATTTAGGGCTGGCCGTACACAGAGCCTGCCTTCCCTGTTACACCACCTCCAAGGCCACAGAGCTCCATGCCTATTCCATCTATCTCGGCTGCACTAGGCAGGTGCTCTGCAAGCTCAGCAGGCAGGAGAGCGGGCCATCAGGGTGGCACTGCAGAAGGGACGCTTGGGAAATGAGCAGGCAGGAAAGCTGGGGTGGGCCTGTCCTTTTGGGTGAGCCCAGGAAGTGGGCTTCAGGTGGCAGAGCAGGAGCCCCTAGTTCCTCCAGGACCTGCTATCTCTACCCAGCCTTGGGCCAGGACCTGCGGCCTGAGGCTGAGATGGGCATTGGGCGGAGGTCACTGTGGATTATGAGTTGCACTGTGGCACACTGTGACGTGCTGAGATGGCAGGAATCAAGGCTGAGGCCACCTCTCTGCTCCTGGGGTCCCATCATGCTCCCACCCAGCAGGTGAAGGGGACACCAGCTGGTACTCTGCAGGACAGGTCTGTGACTGAGGCACGGCCCTGGAGTTGTGACCCTCTTCTGGGCTTCCCAGGGCTGCTGCGCACATCAGAAGAGAACCTCTCTGACCCGAAAACGCTGTGTCTGCAACCTGCTGGCCCCAGTGGTCTGGCCCTGACCGGATGGCAAGGATCTGGGGCACTGGTCACCAGAGAATGGGGACATGTGTGGCAGCACTGGAGCACAGCTCTGTGGCTCTCAGCACGAAGGATGGGCCACATCAGAATGAAAACAGCACGTGTGAGCTTCAAAATTTGTTTAAATAAGAATTAAATGTATTAAAACAAAACCATGTACGGGAAAGTAGCCAACAAAGCATAGGGTCCCTGCCGTGCCTCCGCAGGCAGGAAAGAGAAAGAGCCCCGTGGTGTTGGGAAGCTCTGAACACTACATTCCTGAATCCCACACATCACTGTACAAAATGTCACTTGAAAAGTGGGCCGAACCCTCCAAGCTGAGTGCAGATGGCTCCCTAACATGGAATGTGCGGCCTCAGCCCCGCACCTGAGTGGGAGGGTGGCCACGTCCACCAAGCGGTGCCCCTGCACTTGGACCACTGAGCAGAGGCTGCGATGTGAGGTGTGAGGTGTTAGCCGCCGGCCGGCCGCGCCACTCGGCGTTCTGGGCTCACAGCGCCAAGGTGGACCACAGAGGGCACCCTCCAGGGCTGAGTGTTCTGAGATGTTGGAAATTCTTACTGCACAGTGGCTGTCTAGTATTCCTTTCAAAAACTACTAGATTGTATAATGACTCCTCCCAGCAGGCTATTGAATCTATAAAGCAGAATTTCACCAAGGACCACTTATAAAGCACTGGTACAACACTCAGGGGCTGCTCTTGCAGCGGCGGCCGATAGTACTGCAGGTTGTGGGCTTGGGGTCCCGTGTCACACTGGACTCTGATGGAGAACGTGTAGTTGGGGCGCAGCTGCATGCTCAGGTGGGTGGCGGTGATCCAGGCACATGCAGCTGGAGGCGGGAAGCACCAGTGTCTCTCAAGAGTTCTCTTCGTCTTTAATCTCAGAAATTCTGTCTATAGATTTAAGGATTTCGGCAACGAGATTCAATGTCTCGGCTCCGGAAACCAGCTGCCTGTGAGGAAAGCAGAGGTGGGGGCAGTTACTGCTAGTGTTTGGGGCGGTGGGGCCCGAGTCGGTGCCTGGAGCGGGGAGCACTACGGGTGGCCTGCGGCTCAGCCTTGGGAGGGCTGCACGGCAAGGAGCGCCAGGGGCCTAGTGTGGCCTCCCCGGGTTGCTATGGGAAGAGAAGCTTCGCCCTTTCCTTTATCCCCAGCTTCAGTGTCTCGTGGGTAGGAGCTAGACCCACCTGTGAGGGCCGCCACACAGCTTGCTGGGGGTCTCCTCCGAGGCAGAAGGGGCAGAAGCTGGCTCAGCTGCCCAAAGGGACAGGGGGCCACCAGGCCCACCGACCGGCCTCTCTCCTGGAGCTACCTGTCCAGCCCTGGCAGAGCTGGGCCACATCACCCTCTTCTCACCTTCACCCTCCCCAAAGCTTCTGGCCCTGGCACTCACTTTATGGATGCGTGTGCGCTGCTCATGACCATGCGGAGGTTCTGCAGGGCCACGTCGGTGTTCTGCTTCACCACTGTCAGGCTGGCGCCCTGGCCCGACCGCAGGGCCTCGTTCTCCTGCTTGAAGTCGGAGACCTGTGCCTGGGAGGGGCAGGGAGCGGCGGCAAAGCAGTGACACAGCAGGCAACCCAGGCGGGTCCCCTCCTCTCCAGAACAGCGCCGATGGAGCTCAGCACCTCGCTCTGAGCCGTCCTGGCACCCACTCTTACAGGCTCACCCCCAGACCCTCAACATCCACAACACGACCAGAAGGCAGCAGCTCAGGCCTGCGCCCAACGTGGCGCTGTCCTGACTTAAGATCTTCACATGCTGGGGCACAGGGCAAACTTCATACACATGTGACTCTAAAGGAAAGGGAGACACGTGAGACCACTCTCATTACCTGGAGCAACTTCACTTCCTGTCTCAGCTTCGTGACCTGATTTTCTGCCTTCACAGCCCGTTTCTGTTGCCCAAAACACAAACACAAGCTGCGTGGCTGAGGGCCCATGAGTCAGGCCGCTTCCCAGAGCAGTCCTGGCCCCTGCACACCACCCGGGTCCGGGGATCCGGCCTCGGCGCATGGATGGCCTGGGGGACACCTGGCCCACAGCACAATGTGACCGCCATGCCAGGGACTCGGGTCACCTGAGCCATTCTGGGCCTCAGGACACTGCGGCAGGCACGCAACAGGAGCAGGCAGCCCCTCTCCAGGTGCTCCCACCCCAAGCCCAGAGGCAGGGCCCGTGCGTACGGTCATGAGCTCCAGGTTCTGCTTCACCTGCTGCACCACCGATTCCAGGTCGTGGTAGTCACTCTCCTCCCTGATCATCTTCGCTTCTAACTTCCGCTCAAGCGTCCTCACCCTGGTGGAAGGAAAAACCTGAGGTGTTGAGTTTGTGCAGCTGTTTCCAAGAAAACTTTTGATTTGAGTTAAAAGTTCTCCTGGGGAAATAAGACCCTGCCATGACAAAGAACACCCGAGAAACTTCGTGAATATCAAACCAGCACTACAAGCAATTCTAAACAATATCCTACAAAAAGACAATGACGGTCACACCATGAGGCCCAACAGAGCAAATCAATTAGGCAAGGCAAGAAACTAAGGGAGAGAGGGGGGAAAACAAACAAAAGCACTTCTGGCCGGGGCCTGGTGGCGCACACCTGTGATCCCAGCACTCAGGAGGGTGAGGCAGGAGGATCACTGTGAGTATGAGACCAGCCTGGGCTACATAGTGAGTTCCAGGTCAGTGAGACCCTATCCCAAACAAAACAAAACAAAAACCCCAAAACACACAAACAAAAAGCACTCCTATTTCATTGCTGGATAAAAACCACCTAGAGCTCATGGTCACATCACAAAGCCCAGCGTGGGGGCACACTGACCACCCCAACGGGCACCCGCTGTGCTCCTTGAGCAGGTCACGGGGAGCCTCAAGCTCTGCTAGCTCTGAGGGAGTTTGCCTGGTTTGAGTCTGATGTTTCAAAAGCTTTACTCAGAGCTGGCGTTGTGAAGCACCCCTAAAACCCCCACACTCTGGGAGGCCAAAGCAGGAGGATCAGAAGTTCAGGTCCAGCCTGCACAACTTGGTGAGACCCTGTCTCAAATTTTAAAAAGAGTAGGGATGTGGCTCAGTGTGAAGGCCTGGGGTTCGATGCCCAGTACTGGGGAAAAATGTGTCCAGGAAAGGTGTTTGACATAAAAACATCCAGACGCAACCCTGGCACTGTCATTGCTTATAATGGATTTCCTGGGTGGCAGAGAATGTTTTGAGCCAACTCTTGTCTAAAAGCTTACATACATTTCTGTCTGAGTTTCAGAGAAGCTCTGAATCTCATTCAGCTTTCTTCTTAGCTTAGAATTTTCATCTTTCAGCTGTAGAGAAAGAAAACCCTCATTAGAAACCCAGAACATCTTGCTGGGCCTGGTGGTGCATGCCTGTAATCCCAGCACTTGGGAGAACGAGGCAGGAGGATCGCTGCAAGTTCCAGACCAGCCTGAGCTATATAGCGAGTTCCAGGTCAGTCTCAACTACACAGTGAGACCCTGTCTCAAAAACCAAAAGAAGAAAAGAAAAAAAAGGAAAGAAACCCTGAACATCTCACTCAGGAGCATAAGAGCTTCTGTGATGGGTACTGCCTCTGCTGAGCTCCAATTTCTGTGGTGCTTGGTGAGTACGGTTCCACAGAGCCGTGCCCTGCCTGGACTGGGCTGAGGGACAGAAATTCCCTGGGTCACCAGAGGCCCCTCAGTACCAACAACAAGGGAAGCCCTGGGGCCACAGACTCCAATTCCACTCCCGGCCTTTTCAGAGGAGTTTGACTTTTCAGTCTTCACCTGGAACACATGGCAAGATGTCCCCGAGCCGACGATGCTCACTGGCCATCCCTGAGCACATCGGCGCACTCCAGTGGGCCCTGCTTCCTAACTTACCTCAGCACGATTTTTGTGGGATTTTTTTCTCCTTTTTAAGACAGGGTCTCGTGGGCCAGGGATTTAGCTCAGAAGTTCTGCCACCTGCCTCGAACGTGCAAGATGCTGAGTGTGATCCCCACTACCCCCCCAAAAAAAACAACCAGGGCCTCGCTATGTAGCCCAAGTTGGCCTTGAACTCACTATGGAGCCTAGCTTGGCCTCAAACTCATGGCAATCCTCCTGCCTCAACCTCCTGAGTGCTGGGATTACAGGCGTGTGTCACCATGCCCAGCACGGCCCCCATTCTTTTTGGTTGGTGGTACTCACTGTGTACCTAAAGCCAACCAAGGGTATAGCTTGCTGTGGGGAAATTTGCAGCAGCAGTTACATAAACACCCCCGGGGAGGCGGGATGGCCCCAGGGCACTGCTCAGCCCGCTCCACGCTGGGCACTGCGCAGCCCTCACTTACTGCTTCATAACTCATCTGCAGCGTCCGCAGCTGTCTGTCTCCCAGGGACTCCCTGTGAGCTGTGAAGTCCATGCCCGGACTCCTAGACGGGGATGCTGGGGACATGCGAGAGTCCGTGTCACTCATTGTCCATGGGGGCAGAGACTCAGGCCCTGCCAGCTCCAATGGGGTGGAGAAAAAGGACAGGTAGGTGCCACAGGGAGATGTGCTGGTGGCGGCCCGGGATGAGCGGGTCTGCTCCACAGCGGACGGCAGATAGGCACCATTCCACCCGTCTTCCTCGTCCTCATCCTCATCCAGGAGGCCACTGGCCCCAGTCAGGTCTTCAAAGAATGGCTGCTGACAGTCTACGCCGAAGCCCACAGATTGGGTGGGTGGGGAGCCAGGGTCCAACCCCAGGGAGCGCCTCGCGACTTCCTGAAACAGTGAAGGCCAACCCTGTAGCCAGAAGCCATCACTCAGCCCGGAACCTAAACAGCCGGGCCTGGTGGTACGCACTAAATTCCCAGCTGCTCTGGAAGCCGAGGCAGGCTCAGGGCCAGCCTGGGTAACTTAATGAGGCCTGTCTCAAAGCTCACAAAGGGCTGTCGGCAGGCTCAGTGATGTGCCCGCCGAGCATGTGCAAGGCACCACCAGGGAGAAACAAGGCCCAGCAGCCCTGCTCCACCCATGTGTCCCCCCACCCCACCCCCAGCACCACAAGGAGCGGTGTCGGCCTCCAGGGTCTCAGATCTACCTTCGGGTAAATTCTAGTGTTGCTCGTGTCATCTTTTGACAGGCTGAGGTTCTTGGTTTTCAAAAACTCTTTAAAAGAGAATGGATTTGCCTCTTCAAGGTCTTCAGGTTTGTCATCTAAAACAGCGTCATCAAGATCATTCAAAGGGAGCCTCCCCTTCCCCTCTCTTCCAGAGCACAACTGCACCAACTGGGTAAGGCCCCACCAAGCCACCTGACTCAGGTGACACCAGGAGGCAAGCCAGCTGCCCCCAAACGGGGAAAGAGACAGATCTGTCTCTGTACGTGCACTTCTCCCATTCCTCACGCTGTGGGCCCCCTAGGAGCCCCTGGAGTTGCTCTGGTGCTGGAACCCAGGGCTTCGGTCATGCTGGGTGAGTGCTCTGTGGACCACATCCCTACGTCGCTCCAGGATCTTTATGATGTGGTACTAGAAAGCAAGCTCAGGTACCAGGGGAAGTGTGACCCGCACTGGGGGCTTCAGGCTTCTCCGGGGTTGCAGAAGTTGGGAAGTGCTCATCTCAGGCGTGATCTTCTCACCCAGCTCACACTCCCTGCTCCACACCGGACTGTGACACTGCCTTGCAGCCCAGCCCTTCCTGGAGTCTCTCCCTGGTCCAGCCATGCAGAGAGGGCTGCAGCACCCCACGCTGCTATCTCCTCAGGGGGACTTTCCACCTCCCTGGTTTCCCCCACGTGTGAGGTTCTCCTACCCTATTCACCTCCAGGGTCGAGTGGAAGATTTGGGATTCTACCTGTATCTGCTCTTTTGGACACAACCCTTGGATCCTGTCAAATTGGCAGCCCCACGGCTGGACGCGTGCTGTGGCACTGTATGATGTGTGGTGTATGATGAGAAAGCGAATGGACCACCGAACTACTCTACCTCCAAAACGTGTCTCGTGGGCTCCTGTTGGACCTTGCTTAGTACATTTTCCCTTTCCACAGCCAAAATATGAGAAGAGATATGGTCACCGCCCCCTTGTCACGGGAGGCTGTGCGTCTAAGGTGCTTCTGGAGGGTACTGCAGCGGCCCTCACTCCCCGGGGTGCTTGGAGAACAAGCCCGGAGCTCTGGACCTCGCAGGTGCCCGGGCCTCTGGGAGTGTCAGGGACTGTAGGACCAGCAGACTGCGCCGGCTGGGGGCGAGCGCAGTTCTGGAGCCCGGCAACACCTGGAAGCACCAGGACCCCGACGCCGCCACCTGCTCGCTTGACTCCCCGCCCTGTCCCCCGCCGGGAAGGAAAAGGCGTCCGTGCTCCCGGGGCACCGACTGGCTCGGGGATCCCTACTGCTCTGCGCCCCGACTCTCACCTGTGTCTCCCACGGAAGCCAGCACCGGGCTGGGAACATAGCACATAAACGTCGGCCGAAAGCCGAGGAAGTGGGGGCGCCCACAGTCTAGCTGGGGCAGGCAAGACCGGCGCTCACAGAACGCTGGAGCTGTAAGCGACAACGACAGCGGCTTCACCCCCGGCCGCCCCGGCCGCCCCCCGGCCTCGG